CTCGACATAGTGAAGTTTTACCAGTCCCTGGAGGACCATACAACAGAATTACACGATTCCAAGAAATTACAGATGAAGATACCTGTCAAACCAGCAAAAAAACCAAGTAATAACGGACTTAATAACATATAGAAGTGGAAGATTATTACTGTAGTAGTATACAAACTAATGTTCTTGAAGGTGTTTGAGATAATCCTTATGTAAAACTATTACAATATGAAACTTAAGCTAATACCATTATCTGACGGTTATTTAGACTTGATATGAAAGTAAAAACAGAAGAAAGATTCAAAATAAAAGTATGTTCAGCTGTGTCAAGAAATCAAGAAGCGGAAGTAGGATAGAAGAAAATACTTTAGATTGTTATTTGTAAAGCGTAAGTTTCGGCCGATAAATGTTTCAATGAACAGGTAGATACTAAGTACCAATGCTATACTATATATTATTAATAATGAAGTTACAGTTTATTAATCTTACTGTTTGTTTCATTAATATATTCTGACGCCTAACGGAATAAACATTGAAAAAATGTTTTAACTAAAAGAATAATTGAATGTTTACGTCAACGTCTCAATATGAAAAATATCCCAAAGGCAATGTGTATTACAGGTTTGAAATATCTGGAACCATGAAACTTAGTCAGAGCATTCGAGTGATCATGAATGAGTCAACACAACAATAATAGGTTTATTTATTTTCATTTATTTAAACACATAAACATTGGTATAAGGAGGCACCAAATATGTATACGCCACAATTCATCATTCGATTTGTGTGAGGGCTGGGATACTGCCTGGGTATCAAAACCGAAACGGGTGGTTTTCTTAGAAAGACACACCAGGAGCCTTTAATTTACAGGTCTAATTCATAAGGCAGTGGAGCAACATCAGGAGATGCAGTACCATGGTAGCCAGTGACCAACAATAAATTCATAGGCCTTTTGTTCCCTCAGGATCCTGGAGTCATGGGCTTGGAATCAAGGTTTCTCAACTCCCCTAGGTGGATGCTCTATATCCACTGACCCCGTTAAAGCGCCGGACATTTGGTTTTTATCTTCTCAATTTCGTAAACAACACCCTCGCCTCGGGAAGGTAGTGAGTAAGACTTCCTTGGTAGTGGCTGTATACGCGTGACCATGTGAGAGATGACTCTCCCCACACTCCACCATACCAGGGCATTTGGGGTCTAGTTGAATAATTCGAAAAATGAACTTCTGATTTACATTGTAAATGCTAAGCAATTACTTCTACATTAAAAGTAGTAACCCACTCAAGTGACAAGAAAGTTGGGGAAGAGTGGACGAGTTCCCCTTCATCGTATTAAAAAAAACAGTAAAACTATTTTATTAAATTTTGACGAACAACAAAAAAACCGATCGGATTATAAGTAGATTAACTGCTCGAGCCGGTTGAACAAAAAAACGAAAACAATTATCTGTAAATAAATATAGAATTATGGTCGAAGCAAATAACTAACTTTTCGATCAGCAAATAGTAGAGCAGTTTGTGCATACTGTAATAAATTTAATTTTATATCTGTATCAAAAATAAGTGATTCCCAGAGACCTGACATTTCTGCTGATGGAAGTAACCATGTAGTTCCACCATTTATAGATTCTGAACCGAATTCAATTAATTCTTGAACTGGTAAAGCTTCATCTCCATTAACCATTTGATAAATATGTACTAAAATAGGTGTAATACAAAGATTAACTGATCGACCAGTATCATTATCATAAATTCCATCAGCTTCATCAAGCATTAACTAAAATTTAAGCAAATAAGACAAATGAATAACAAATAATTACAATTTTCAAATTATTTTTGATTAGTAACAAATAAATTTTGTAAACTTTTGATATTTTGACAGCTTCAAGTTCAATAAGCACCAGTCAAATTAATAAAGTCAACTTGAAAATGACGCGGAATCCACGTGATAAAAAAATTATACTTCGTACTTTCTTGCAGTTGGTCATCGAATAATATTTAAGAAGCTTTGAAAGTTTATTTGGAAATAGTATTCAGTAAATTAGCACTGGCAGTAGTGTCTTTAAAATCTAAGAATATTTTCATGTATTTCGTGTGACTCTGGAAATCAGTCAGTCAGCAACAACGTACGTACATCAGTTTGAGTTGCCATACCACACTAGCACACAAATGTAATTGTCGATTCAAATCCCGTAGCTGTATTGGTAGTTAAAGTATAAGCAATAATGAAAAAGAGTAGGGTTTGAATATGTTATTCAAAGAGTACAATCCAGTGAAATAAATTAGGAAAGAGAAAAAAAGGGACATGAATAATTCAGATTAGAATCTGGGAGAACACAAAGAGTGGATTCACCTGCGCCATTGCAAACGATTTTGAGCTATGTCATTCAAAGTCTCTAACCATCGGTTGCTATTGTCTCTCGGATCCCAAGCAGGTAATCTACACCTACCAAGAAGGCTCAGTTCACTTGTCAATGACTTCATGGATTTGTGCCATGTTTTGGTCTGGCTACCTCTAGCTTTCTTCTGGTAAAGTTTCACTACTTCATCAATTGATTTGCCATGCTTACCTAGTACCCGTTTCCTAACAACCGTATTACTTACTCGGTAGTCCCAGGATGTACGAGCAGCGCTTCGAAGACACCTATGATCGAATACTAGTAACCTACGAATATCCTCTACTCTTAACGGCCATGTTTCACAGCCATAAAGTAGGACGGAACGAACTGCTGCGCAGAAAACCCATCCTTTGGTTGATAGACGGATATCTCGCCTACGCCATAAATGATGCAGGTTAGAAAAAGCTAGTCGAGACGTCTGAATCCGTGCTGAGATGAAATCTAAATTTACCATAATGGTCGGAGTATATTTCTGTATACACTCAGGTTACTTTGTTGATGTACATAACATAATTTTAAAATTAAATAACAGAATTTAAGTATTTTGAACACTGTATAACTCAACTTACATTAATTGACGCAACACAACTAGTAAGAACCTGATGAAACTTATTCACCTCACTATTACATGTCACTAAACTCAATTCATTATCAAATTTATTTAGGACAGTTGGTATGTGTCGAGGACCAAGTTGACGTAGAAATTCTACGACGTAAGATTCAATGACAGTAAATTCTTCACAATTATACGGAGATACACAAACTTCAGCATGCACCGGTCGTAAAGAGGGATCAAATGTTGTTAAATTCTGATGTTCACACATACTACTATTGGATAAGTTTAGACCGCACTGAATTCCACTATTGTATATATTCGCTTTATTATTAAGTGGATTCTCATTATTGTTTTGTTGCATTCCAATGACACTAGAAGTTCTCAAACAGTTGTTCAATGATACGTTTGGTAATTCTCTTTCCATTGGATACACAACACTATATGACAAATAAAAATGAGATGAAGGATCTGGACGAATATATTACAAAGTATTTAGTAATAAATATAAATGTAATTTATCAACCGAGGTCTACAGTTATTATTGTGGCAGCCAATGATATCTGTTAAATTATCCAAGTATCATCCAATTATGAGTAAAATTTTCTTTTCTATAACCGTGATTCGATTCCATTCCATGTATTGGATCAATTACTTGTTGATTTGTATCTCAGTTTTAACTTTAATGTGATCTTCCTCACACTGAACACAATTGAATGAAATAAAAGAGAAGTCAGGATGCATCTTGTGAAACTGGAATTCCAATTACCGATTACCTGTAAAATTATCAAAGATAACTTTTTATCTCAACTACACAATATCCAACATACATCCACGTAGTTTCGTATACGCCACAAACGTTTATTCATGATAAATAATATTCACTATGTTCAGGCCACAATCAACGTAGTCTAACAGCACTTACCATTACGTAAACTAATACATGGCATGATGTTAATTCCCAGGAATCATACATTTGTCTCAAATATTTCATTTAGTAGTTCACTAGTAGATTTTCGTATATTACTTGGTACATGACCCTATTGACTGAAACACTAATATGCTTAATATTCTTTTTCACTTAATTCTATTCATGAATTTCTATATGTTAAATGAATTTTTCTGCAATAATCAAAGAAAAAGATGTACGAAAACTTTTAAGCGGTATTTAATAGTTTGCGGTAGAACAATTATCTGATTGATTCATTTCTATACAGCACGAACGCATAGTTGAGAGATGTTTGTATGGCTAGTTGATACATGAATGCAGTCAGTACAATGATAGCTATGTAACTCCACTGCTGGGTTTTTTTACAGCCTAGTTACCCTGAACTGTCAGCTAATAATTTTGGATAAATATTTTGGACAAATAAGAGGTAAACACAGACAATTTTTAACTTCCATGTTTGGTATGCTCTTTTAGTTTCCATATCTTCAGAGTCAAGATTTTCCGGCTAGTATAATAAATTTCATGTATTCACCAAGTTCCACTGGTTTTGTATTTTGGCAGTTTAAATTCTTAGTGCATATTTGCATACAAGACCCTCTTCCCAATATTCATGTCTGAAATCAGCCAAAGAAAACCGTCTTTACACAATTTAACTACCATTACAATGGTAGATTATATCGGTTCTGTCTCGATGGATTTCACACTAAAGCTACAATCTGACGATAAGATGAAAAGTTTATATGTTGTTAAGTACTCAATCCACACTGAAGTATACTTGAATAGGGAAAACAAATCATAGTAAAACTATGGTATGTACAACAATTCACCTTTAAGTTACAAATGAGGATATCATTCATGATATATATATATATATATATATATATATATAAATATATATATATATATATATATATATATATATATATATATATATATATATATATATATATATATATCTCACTACTATGATATTTCAAGCAAGCATTTATAAGAATTTAACACCAAATACTCGTTAATTTATGTATATTGATCATAAGAATTTATACACTATGTACAAAAAGCATGAATATCGATAGATAAGTGGAATAAATGTACTGCAACTTATTTCGGAGTTACTGTTTACTATGATTCCACTCTAAAAATCGTTCACATAGTGCGGAAAGACTATTAGAAGCTAAGAGTTGACATTCTGCATCTGAATCAGACAATGAACATGATTTTAACCAGCTAGAAATAGTACTTTCTACAGAGCTTTTTTTACTACCAGATAAAACGATTGACTTTCTAAAAATCAATTCAGGTTTAGAAGATAAGATTTCCAGTGGAGTAGTGGTGATAACTGTTCCAACGACTATGTGTAAAGCACGTCGCACTGCAGGTTCCGGATGTCGATGAAATAAAGGAATTAAATTTATCAACTCGTCAGCCATTCGAGCTTGGACAGATGAGAGACTGGAGCAAGCATAAATAGTTCCCAACGACGCCAATAAGCTAGCCAATAAACTAGCATCTTGATGAGCGAACGGTCCTTTAGCAGAAGAAAGAGATAACTGTGGAATGCTTTTTAGCAAGGGAAAGAAAAACTCTCCAGCAAAAGGAGCAAATTTATTAATAATATAGGAAGATGGAGGGCGCTTTTTACAAAATCGACGGGTTTTTCCTTTATGATCGTTGTTAGCAGTGACCGCATCATTATTGGCTATCTGATGATTTGAGGAGAATCTTTGAGAGAGTAGTGCGTCTTTGCCCCCATACAACTTACAGGCAATATCAGTGAGAGATGATATAATATTCATCCTTTGGCCAATGGAATATCCTGATTGACAAAATTCTGAAGTCAAATAACGTGCGCATTTTTTCGGAGCAACTACACCAATAGCTACTAGGGCATCATGTCTGGCACGAGCTATTTGTTCCGGATCAGGTGTTACAGGTGGTTCAATATGAACAAGAACACGAGCGAATTCTAGTGCTAACTCTTGTGCCGCTTCCGGATGAGCGTAGATCAACTTTTCTGCAGACATTGTACATGCAATATTCACTGGGTTATCTTCAACCTTAGATAATAACATTCCATCAAGACATTCACGAAGATAAAATGGTGTTTTATTGTAGCGATTTGAAGAACTAATGGAAGGGAGTGGTGTCAATGAGTCATTATCACTATCTGGATCATCATCACTGTCTAGTTTATGTAGAGCTTGTTTCGCAGTTTCACAGTTTTCGTTCGTTATCTCTAAAATAAGAAAAGGCAGTTGAAATATCAAAGTCGCAATAGATTGAAAAAGGAAATATTAACAATTCAATAATAATGAGCTGTAAATTAGGTGGAAAAATGAAGCTTAAAATCAATCCCAATATAGTTCACGTGACAAGCGTAAAGAATATAAAGGGGTTGGATGCACCAATGTCATGTAGCAAGGCGAGTGAGATAGGAACATTAGCTTTTTAGCTAATACGGGAGGTAGTTACATATTAGACTGAGTTTTCAATCATACTAATATATTTATAAACATAGAGTGATGTTCAATTTCGGTAAAATACTAGTGAATATACAATCATATTTTATCAAGGACTAACACTTTATTATATATGAGTATAGGTGAATGAGAGCAATTCAACGACCAAATTGATCTAGGCTCATGTACTAAACTATGAGAAAGATTTAGCGTATGTGAACTATTGATAAACACTTTCAAGGTGAAAAGTATATCAATCAGATACATAGCGATTACATACGGTATATTTGGGAAACCTTTGTTACTAATAATTTCCAATATTAACGTATAAAACAAAAGACAACTAAAGAGGGAATATTATTAGCTTTCACTGAGAACGAATCCAAATAGTTCCCCTTGGGGCATGAGTAGGTGTTAGTCCAACTAAGTAACCACACTATGACATAAAGTAACCGTATCACCAACTTTCTAGTCAATAAACAATTTTCAATATAGAGTTTGTTGAGATGGCACAAGTAAAACTAATCTAAACCGTTGTGAAATACATTAACATAGTATGATGACATCCTTAATATTCAAATATGAAACCCCCGATATTCTTAGTTTTACCGAACACGAATAACCTTAAGAACAGTAGCAATTAACCATTGAGGATCATAAGCTCAGGAGTCAGATCCTATATGTCTAGGAAAAAGCAGCTAGTGATGAAGGTTTATGCACTCAGTCATTTACAGGTAATTGATTGTGGAGACCATGACCATTGATGTTACCTTGACGTGATGGTCGGACTTGCCTATCGTAATGAACCAATCGAGCTATACTGGCTGGAACAATCGTTTTTCAAGGTCCTACCATGCCAGACAGGTCGGTTGAAGAATGGTGAGACTAAAAGCAGCAAACCCAAGGTCCGAGGGCGAAGTCGCACTTTTGACCATACAGAGGTGTGATGGCAGTAAGGCGTTTCCTTCAGACAAGCAGCATAACAGCGATGCTGTCTTCCCACAAGGAGGAGTAGGGTTAGAAGTCAATCCTAAAAATGTGCACCTCGCCATATCCGACGGATTTTTGTCTCCGATGTGTCCGGCAAGGTTGTCCACTATCTCCATTTTTGTTTAACTTCATCACAGACATACTGATGGAAATAACGTTCTCGTCGACTGAATTTCCGGGCATTGATCTCCTATCAGGAGGTCTACTTATCTACTTAGGATACACACATGACATAATCCTGTTTGGTGAAGACGCTGGGAAAATGTAGTGTTTCGGTAGCACTAAGCAACAATGCCAGGGTGTTTAGGATGCGTTTCTCCCCTCCTCTGAATGAAAATTGTTGCTCCAGGACTGGCCTGCGTCAACAACTGAACTAAAGATAGGGAGTGAAGTAGTCGAACGTGTCGACAACATTTATTTTGGGCATCGGATCAGCCCTAATGCGTTGGTATTTGGCAAAATCTCTTCATGGATTCAAAAAGCTCGCTTGGCTTTTGCCAACTTACGTTACTCATGGCGAAGGCGAGATATTCGTCTATCAATTAAGGGACGAGTATACTGCGCGGCGGTTCGTTCTGATGACCAGTGTTGGAGATGGTTGGGAATAAGTTAGGGGCGGCCAAACCAAAACATGGCATCAATGCTTGGAGTCACTAACTTCTAGTCTTAGCAATGTTGGTAGATGCAGACTACTTGGTTGGGGTCCGCGTGACTATCGTAACCAATGGTCAGAGACTGGGCGACATGCCTCACAACCGATCACAATGACGTAGGTGCATACACTCTTTGTCTTCCCTTAAACCGTGAGATTAATATTGTTTTATATCTTTCTTTCTACCAACTAATTCTCTTTCCCTGTATCATATTCTCATATGTAATCCTTATTTACATATATTACCACAATTGAAGTAACTACTTCTATAAATTTGGTGTTCATCCTGTTGTGCTAATGAGCTGTGGCAACTTGGACCGATGCATATATGTGCCTGATCCTACGTCGTAGATGACTGACTGACCCTGAATATTTGGCCAAGGAGGGCTTTACAACAAAATACTTGAGTCAACACAGTAGGTGGAGCTGGAAATGACTCCTGGACGACCCTTTACTTGTAAGAGAAATGTAAATTTGCATCCTATGATGCTAATGTGAGCAAATTCGATTATTCTTTCGGTTAAACTAAGGGGTAGATTATTGGAAATCTCGTCAAAAAGTTGGAACCAGTGCTTCTATTTACCACAGACGCCAAACACCCAGAGCTAAATATTGCAAAGGGTAAATAGTAAAAATTAGTCACTACAGGCAATAATCGGGAAGGAGAAAGTGATGTCAAAACAACAGAGGAATATTTGTAAGTTGCTGGGTATTGGTTACTTCTCAGATATCTAGACAGTGGATGATTTTTTATAAACTAACCTTGATGAAATTCCTATTTCTTGGTTCCCCATAATAGACTTCCAGTACGAATATTCAAGAGACATCTATTCGGGGTACTTTTAAAGCCTGAGTGAAAATAACAATAACTTTCACATACAGTTTGCATGACCTTTTACCACTTTAAAAATAAATTTCCTTAACCATCTTTGTCCTGCAGTAAGGTTATATTTCAAAAAGTTCCACTCCGCTGAAAAAGATCTCGTTGTTACAACCTATCACAGTTAGAGTGAAATGGTGTGAGGTTCTTCCTAACACAAAAATACAATATTTTTCTTAGAGCTAATATTTAAATTAACTACATTATATCTAGGGCTTTTGGTTTTAAAAATCATTAGTCAAGTTTCCTACCGCTATAAAACGTTGTGAATCTAGTTACATGCAACTTGGATGGACTGTCAGCATCAGTAATCATTATCATTATAGAGATGTGCTATTCTTTAATCCGAATATTATCGAAATCGGTAGTCAATCAAGTGAGATTGTGCCAAAAACGGTTATTGAAGATAAAAACTTACTGTATTCAAGTGAATTAAGGGCGATTTTGGGAGACTCTACACTTGACGGCGTTTGAATTGGAACTGAATTGTGATCACCAGACTCAGCATCGACAGCCTCATCCAGAGGAACAAAATATGGTCGAATATGGCTAAGAAAATTTAGTTCTTCATAGTCAAATTTCAACTTCTGATTATCATCACCAGGACTCCAGTCGAAAATTTTCACAATCCACTCCCCTATAACCATACCAAGAGTACGAATTTCAATTCGCGGACTTCCAAGGTGATTACTGATTCCATTCAGTACATCAGGTAATAAGTGGTCATTGGATAAGTTGATGGATAAATTAGCACGCACAGGGTCCCGAAAATCAATAATCCATGAAATTAATATTTGCGACAAATAAATACGTCTTTCTAGGGAAGCTGTTTGTATGGAGTTTATGTCAGACCATACGCGAAGAGCAGGTAGTCCCAAATCTTCATCAACTCTGGTAGCTAAACAGGTTGATTTTTCAAGCGTCTCACACTTTGAAACAGCCATGAAAAACGAATTAAAAATGTTTCTGACGGTATTTCCAGATTTAAACTGGCGGATGTAGAACAAACGACGACATAACCTCATATATGAATCAAAAGTAGGAGAGGACATTTCAAGAATTCTCGATAACAACGCATAATATTTTTGTGGGGTTGGACATTCTTTAGCGAGTGAAGCCAAACACATTTCCATACTTTTTGTGTTGGTGTGGATTAGTAATTTAGACCAAATGTCAGCGGAATTATGTTGTCCCTGCTCAACAATAAAATCTGAGACATATTTCGAATACCCGGCCAAACATAGATGACTAACAATTAATCCTAAAAGCTGATACATATTTTGCGATGTATTGGAAACACGTTCGAAGGCTGACAAAATGTTTTTGACAAAATGACTCCCAACAGTGAAGTAGGAGGGATTCTCACGTTTCACGTTAGCAACATAGTGAGGCACGTTGGCCAATAACCTGGCTCGTGACTCCAGAAACAATTGCGAGCTATCTGAGATAATTCCACTGTCATCAATGCAAGCAGAAATAAAATCTGACACTCTGTTGAACTCTGAGAAAAACTTTTCTAGTTCAACTACTAGTAAATGAGCTTCTGTAGATACAATATTGCTTGACAACAAGTTGCATGCGGACTCAAGCCAAATATCGCCTTTCGAGAATTCCGTCAAAAATCTACATAATGATAACATTTCAGTCGTTGGTAATTCGTTGACAATCTTGAAAGTGTGGCCCATTATTTGATGGAAGTATTTGTCATAGAGCAGTTTCTCATCTTCTTTAGTAATCCTGAAACCTAATCTATCATGTTTTAAGGGGTAGTGTACTAAGCCTTTAACACACTTAACAATATCCTCCTTATCTGCATTAGTAAGAAAGTCATTTACCAAATTTATCATCCTCGTGTAGCGAAATCTTCATCCACTCGCCTTATTCAGTATCCAATACTGTCACAATAAATCAAATTTGTGCGGCTTGATGGAGTGGTGAACACTGCTTTGAGTCATAAGAGAGACTAATTCCATATTAATTTGCCAGAACTTAATTCTCCCCAGTTTTGTCCTGCTTTTGACAACGTGGACATTTACCACTGATCAAAAGTTTGTTTAATTCATTTGTCGGCAGTATAAATACCAGTTATAACAAGTGAGAATTTACCACGCAAATCACTGGTTTTTTTCGTATTTGCGACACTTTTGACCGGCTGATATTACCACTTCAGTTTTTAGTAGTAACGATAGAACATCAATCAAAACGTAGGGGTATATTACTTACTTACTTACTTACTTACTTACTTACTTACTTACTTACTTACTTACTTACTTACTTACTTACTTACTTACTTACTTACTTACTTACTTACTTACTTACTTACTTACTTACTTACTTACTTACTTACTTACGCCTGTTACTCCTCGTGAATGAGCGTAGGCCGTTCACTAGCATTCTCCATCCAACCCTGTCCTGAGCAATCCTTCCCAGCTCCTTCCAGTCGTTATTCATCATTTTCATATCTGCTTCTATTTTCAGACGTAATGTGTTCTTTGGACTTCCTATTTTCCGCTTCCCTTCAGGATTCCAAAATAGGGCTTGCCTCGTGATGCAGTTTGACGATTTGCGTATTGTATGTCCTATCCATTTCCATCGTCTTTTCCTAATTTCTTCTTCAGCTGGAAGTTGGTTTGTTCTCTCCCACAGAAGGCTATTGCTGATGGTATCCGGCCAATGGATGTTGAGTATCTTGCGTAGACAGCTATTTATAAATACTTGTACTTTCTTGATTGTGGTTGTTGTAGTTCTCCAAGTTTCAGCTCCATACAGTAGAACTGCCTTGACGTTGGTATTGAAGATTCTCACTTTGATGTTGGTTGAAAGTTGTTTTGAGTTCCATATGTTCTTCAATTGTAGGAATGCGACCCTTGCTTTGCCGATCCTCGCCTTTACGTCTGCATCTGAGCCTCCTTGTTCATCGGTGATGCTTCCTAGGTATCTGAAGGATCCTACATCTTCCAGAGTTTCGACATCAAGAGTGATTGGATTGCTGTTCTTCGTGTTGTATTTGAGGATATTGGTTTTCCCTTTGTGTATGCTGAGGCCTACTGATGCAGAGACTGCTGCTACACTGGCTGTCTTCATCTGCATCTGTTCGTGTGTACGTGATAGGAGGGCTAGGTCATCTGCGAAGTCCAAATCGTCTAATTGATTCTGAGCTGTCCATTGTATTCCGTGTTTTCCTTCAGATGTTGAGGTCTTCATAATCCAGTCGACCACCAGAAGAAAGAGGAAGGGAGAGAGTAAACAGCCTTGTCTGACTCCGGTCCTTACTTGGAATGCATCTGTCAGCTGTCCTCCATGCACTACTTTGCACTGTAGTCCGTCGTATGAGTTCCGGATAATATTGACAATCTTCTCAGGAACTCCGTAGTGTCGAAGAAGTTTCCATAATGTCCTCCTATCTACACTGTCGAATGCCTTTTCATAATCAATGAAGTTGATGTATAGTGATGAGTTCCACTCAACTGATTGTTCGACGGTGATCCGTAGTGTTGCAATTTGGTCTGTGCACGATAGATCCTTACAGAATCCAGCTTGTTGATCTCGAAGTTGGTCGTCTACTGCATCCTTCATCCGGTTCAGCAACACTCTGTTGAAGACTTTCCCTGGTATTGACAGTAGTGTTATGCCTCTGTAGTTTTCACATTTGCTCAGATCTCCTTTCTTTGGAATCTTGACGAGGTGTCCTTCTTTCCAGTCCATCGGCACTTGTTCCTCCTCCCAAATCTTTTTGAATATAAGATAAAGCATGCTTGTGGTTGCTTCGATGTCTGATTTCAGTGCTTCAGCTAGTGTGTTGTCGGGTCCTGCTGCTTTCCCGTTCTTGATTTGTCTGACGGCCATTCTAATTCCTTCCGTCGTTGATGGGTTGACATCTATAGGAAGATCTATGTGTGCTGCTTCGATGTCCGGTGGATTCATTGAAGCCGGCCTATTCAGGAGTTCCTCGAAGTATTCTACCCATCTGTTACGCTGTTGTTGAATTTCGGTGATTTTCCTGCCTTCTTTGTCTTTGACCGGCCTCTCTGGTTTACTGTATTTCCCTGCTAGTTTCTTCGTTGTATTGTGAAGCTGTTTCATATTTCCTTCTCTAGCAGCTTTTTCTGCCGTCGTTGCTAGTTCTTCCACGTATTTCTTCTTGTCGGCTCTAATGCTCCTCTTCACTTGTTTGTTTGCTTCTATGTATTCAGCTTGTGCTTGGACTTTCTCTGCTCGTGTTCGGCTGTTGTTTATTGCTGCCTTCTTGTTCTTCCTTTCTTTGATCTTGTCCAGTGTTTCTGTAAAGATCCATTCCTTATGATGGTATTTCTTTACACCCAGAACCTCTTGACACGTTGAAGTTAATGCTTCCTTGATGCTTTTCCAGTTGTCCTCCATAGTAGTTTCTTCTTCTTTCGGTAGATCTTGTAAGGCTTGGAACCTGTTGTTGAGAGCTATCTTGAATTCATTGAGTTTGACAGTATCTCGAGGGAAGGCTGTATTGAACCTTTGTAACGCTGTTTGTCCACTTGTCCAGTTCTTTTTTAGCTTCAGTTTTAAATTGGCTAACACTAGGTGGTAATCTGAAGCTACGTCAGCACCTCTCCTGGTTCTCACATCTTCCATTGTCCTTCGGAATTTTTTGTTGATGCAAATATGATCTATTTGGTTCTCTGTAGTGTGGTCCGGTGAGATCCATGTAGCCTTGTGTATACGCTTGTGTAGAAATATTGTGCCTCCTATGACCAATTTGTTGAATGCACACAGATTTGCAAATCTTTCTCCATTTTCGTTTCTTTCTCCCAGTCCATGTCGTCCCATAATATCTTCATATCCAGTATTGTCTATTCCGACTTTGGCATTTAGATCTCCCATCAGAATAGTTAGGTCCTTTCTTGGGCATTTCTCAATAATTGACTGCAGCCGCTCGTAGAACTGATCTTTAATTTCGTCGTTGCTATCATTGGTGGGTGCATAACATTGGATAATATTCATTAAGATCCCCTCCTTCTTTGTTTTGAATGATGCTTTGATGATTCTGGATCCGTGAGATTCCCATCCTACAAGTGCATTTCGTGCTACTTTGGACAGCATAAGAGCGACTCCCTGAGTGTGTGGAGCATTGTCCTCTTCGTGACCGGAGTATAGCAGCATCTCTCCCGTAGCTAGCCTTTTCTGTCCAGCTTGGGTCCAGTGGGTTTCGCTGATTCCCAGTACTGCTAAGTTGTATCTCCTCATTTCCATTGATATTTGACTGGTCTTCCCGGTTTCCCACATTGTTCGAACGTTCCATGTACCTATAAAAGTTTTTGCTCTGGTTGTTAGAAGGGGCATCGGCCTCGTGGCTTCCGAGGGAGCTTGACTTTCACCATGAAGCGTCATAATTCTTCTAAATGAAGACCTTCTAACTCCTAGGGTAGAGTTAAAATGGTTTGGATTATTTTTTCTGGTAAGCGTTTTTTTAGTGAGTTAGTTTTCTACGGGATGAGAACGCTAACCCCATGCCCAACCCTCCTCCATTACCCGGGCTTGGGACCGGCAGTAACCCTATAAGAGCTACAGGCGGAGTTATCGAGGTATATAAATCCCCAAAATCAATATCTGTAAGTCTTCGATATTTGATACTGACTGCATTCGTTTTAATGGACTCACCTGGTTGAAGGCTTACAGTCATTCATCCGCACCATATAACGAATAAGTACGCTGTGCTACATATCTCCTACAACCATCGGCCAAATTAGATTGATCACATATCGATATATCGATATTCTATCAAATATATCTTCGAACCTCTTCACTTTTGACCTTCGGCTTCACTGGGTTGGCACATTTTGATTGCAGGAAATGTTACTGGTTAGGTGTTATCAAACTACAAGTGCTTGTATCACCTTTAAAACTTTTAAGCGGAGATTTTCCCTACCCTTTCGAGTTACACCAGTGCCATCTACTATTTTATTCTCTATCCTAGAGACATATCAGACCGCAGTCAAATATTGGTTTTATCGTGACATCAAGCACCAGTCAACAAAACATTTCGTTGTTCCTCTGACCCTAGGATTACTTCAATGAGTGTGTATAGTCGGAGTTCAACATTTGCGTTGGTCATCTTATCTATTATTCTCAATCTTTTATCTGAACTATTGTAGAATTATTCGGTAAGATGTCAGGAGCAAATGCCTAGACCTTTTCCAAATTACTTACGAGTCTAAATTTGGATCAAAGTCACCTGATTCCAGCAAACTGCCTATAATAATATTCGACTAGATCAGGTATTTCTCAGCAGTGCTAGGGTCAAGTATAGTCTAAATTTGGGGTTTTGATGGTGCACTTTGTAATTCAGAATAATAGTCTGCCAGAGACTCATCAAACAGGCGGACGCTATTTGTAGCTTTTTCTTTTTCCTTGTTTCTAAACTATCGTCCACTTCCCGTCATCTAGGACAACCACTTCGGGACTACTTGCAACGGTGACAGTTTTACCTGGTTCTTCAAGTATTACTTTTGAATTATGGCCATTAATATCTAGCGATATTTCAATCCCTGTTTGTTCCAACGGGGATTTTCTTTTCCATGTTTCGCATCCATGTATTTGGCTCGTCCCATGAAAACATGTGCTATGCTGACAAATTAGCACTCTTTATACCACTGCCGTGACCCTCAAATTTCTCTCTAGTTAACTCCAGAATGATAATTACCTTCTGGATCAGTAATGTTTTACCTGAACGCTAAACATTCAAAGCCAACGTGAGTTACGCTTCTAGTAAATTTTGTATGTGATGGGATTTAAATGTGTACACATGTTGTGAAACCATCACATCAAGTTGCATTCCTTCCGCCATAGGGAAGTAACAATTTGGTTGTCTGCA